TCCTCTCCAACCGCTCCTCCGACCGCCGTCGTGCTAAGTACCAGCTCGTCCACACCGTCCGCACCCACAAGGGAGCCGACGACAAATCCTACGGCTGCGTCTTTCAAGAAGAAGACGACACCAAACGCATCGGCGTCTCCCTCTCTAAAGACCTCATGGCCGTCGCCGGCGAAGCCCTCAAGACTAACATCACTACCCTCGGCCCCCTCGTCCTCCCCATGTCCGAACAACTCCTCTTCTTCGCCACACTGGTCGCCAGAAAAGTCTTCAAGATGAACAAGATCAAGCCTTACATTCCAGACTTCAAGCTCGCTTTCGAGCACTTTTGTATTCACGCAGGAGGTAGGGCAGTTCTGGACGAGTTGGAGAAGAATCTAGAACTTTCTGACTGGCACATGGAACCTTCTAGAATGACTCTTTACAGGTTTGGAAACACTTCTAGTAGTTCTCTGTGGTATGAACTGGCTTACACAGAGGCCAAAGGGAGGATCAAGAAGGGTGATCGGACATGGCAGATTGCATTTGGGTCCGGTTTCAAATGTAACAGTGCCGTGTGGCGTGCGTTGAGGTCCGTTGATCCTAAGAAGGAGAAGAATCCATGGATGGATGAGATTCATGAGTTCCCAGTTGAAGTGCCTAAGGTGGCAGCCATTAATAATGGATCTCATGACTTGCAGAAATAAATTAAATTAAACCGATTAAACCTTGTTTTTTCATTTTTTTTTTTTCAAAAGGGGAGGGGATATGATTGATATATGATGAAAATTAAATGACGATGGTGATGATGATCTTTAGGTAGTAAGACAAAAGAGAAGACTTACTCCCAATCTTAGTTGTGTTGTCAATTGGATGGTTTATTGAAGTTGGCTTTTAGGGTTTGTCTGTATACAATCAAATTGTTGCTGCAATGGAAAATGATTATTCTTCATTTCAATTGATATGCGCTCATGTTGTAGCCCTAATGTGTATGTGCAAATAATATATTTTCTTGTCATAATAAAAATGCATAACACTTTCAAACAAAGAGATAAAAAAATGTACATGTGCAGATATGAGTGGTGGGGGACTACTTCCTAAAAGAAATATCAAATTCAAACTTTGTAAATAAAAAGAATGAATTAAAAGAATTTTTTTATAACTGTCTCTCGACCCTTGATCTAATTGAAATGAGATAAGGTGCATAAATATCTAATTCATGAATGAGCACCCATCACCTGAAAGTTTTCTTGGATCTTATATATATTGAAAGTTTATTTTCGTAACAGGAATATCCCAACTATTATTTGCTGTTAAATTTGATCGTTAAATTATGTGGTTTAACTAGAGTATTTAATGATCAAACTTCATAATGAATGACAGTTCAGAATGGAAATGTTACGAAATAAAACTTTCAAAGCATATAAGAGTAAAAAAAAAAAATCAAATGCTGGATGCTCTTTTATGAATATTTCTGGGGTATTTAAGCACATTATCTCAATTGAAATCCATACTAATGTGTGTTAATTACTAGATATTAGATGGCTTGTTTTATACAAATATACTATCTTCGCTCCTAAACATATAAGATCTAGTTGTTAGTGTAATTTGTACTATAGACTAGATCTTATATCTAGGAACAAAGGTAGTATACTCCTTATGATCCTTTTTTATAAGAGCATGAAGTTTAAATTGCCTTTGTCCTTTTTATATGATGCTAATTAGGGTTGTATAAACATTTAATGTGTTTTTACTATTTTTACCCCTAATTAATTTTATATATTGCATTAATTAAAACTTTGGCGACTTGGCATACTACGTTCTCTTTTATATATACTTTCTTTCATTACTATTCTATTTCTCTCTCTTATTTACCCCCTTAAGAAAAAAAAGCATACTTGAAATTTTTTTTGTTTAACCTATTTATTACTTTTAACTAATTTTAACTGTCTTCTTAGACCATATAATTCAGTTACTAAACTCTTATAAAAAAGAGCGCAAAGAGTCATTTTTATTTTGGGCCGGGCATATGTGCTAAAAAGAAAAGGATTTTTTTTTGGGTAGGAAAAGTCAATTTATGTAACAGTGGGGTCAAAATTGGTGTATTAATTCAGTCAAGCAATTAAGCTTAGTTAAAACTTAAATGTAAGCATATATTTGTCTGTGAGTACATCTGTATTTAATTCACCAAACTTGTGGTCAAAGTTGGTAGATTAATTAAGTCGCGTAAGCTTACTTAAATCATAAGCACTAATGACATATGCATTAATTAATGTTACTTAAATAACTTAATCTGCCCAAAATTACCAGGAAAGTCATAATTTCTCAATTATTGGTGGGATAATAAAGAGGACTCCTCCTGAAAATCTCCTACTTAACGTTTATTATTGCATGCCAAAGATAGGTAAAGTTAGGTGGGATTAAATTATTTATGGACTTGGCAACCATATTGGTTTGATTTGAATAAAAATAACGTTTTGTTCCTTTAGAGAATTGGTCCAAATCATCAGCATATTCTCTAATGGTTCGCAGTATCTTATTTAATCATATGATATAGTAATCTCTCCACTTCTATATATAAGCAATACTTTTTCACATAAAGTTAATCCTATATATATAAGCAACACTTTGTATTTGTTTAAAAATTTAATACACTTTTTGTAAATTTGGCTAAAGTATATATTTGGTCTTTTAATTTTGTACAAAGTTTTAATTTGATCCCTTAACTTTAAAAAGTATGCTTTTAGTCCTTTAACTCTAAATTTTTTAAAAAAATGATGACATTAAGATATTAAACGTTGATAAAATATTCTCAAGTACTAACATATTAAGTTTAATTTTCAAAACATCCATGATTGTTACAAAAAATCATTACTAAAGCTAATGATTTTGGGGTTAAGGACCAAATATATGCTTTTTAGAGTTAAAAGACCAAATTGAAATCTTGTACAAAGTTAAAAGACAAAATGTATACTTTAGCCTTTTAATTTTTACCTCAAATTAATTATATGCCTGCTCTCTCTTTTTTTCCCCCACTCATTCCCTCTCATTATTATTTTCACATATGAGGATATGTTAAAAAAATTACTTCTCTTACACATTTATTATTTTTAACTAATTTTAATCAGTATTTTTTTCTGTTTAATTTAGTTAATCGTTGCTTAAATATGGTACCCCAAGGACTAGTTTGTTAGATTACAGTTTATCATTGAAAACAAAATTATGGTTCATCAATTTCTTTCTTCTTTTTTTTCAAAGAGGTACTCATTCCAGCCCATGTCCTTTTAATTAATTCACAAAACCCAAAAAAATTATATTTAATTATTTTCAATTAATATGCAGAAATTTTGTAACATTTTTATTTAAAAAAAATACCCCCATCGGTTAATGATTAAAATTTGATATGTAAAGATAAAAATCACCCTTTAAATAGAGAAAAAATAAGAAAGAAAAATTTGATATAATAGGGGAAAAAAGGAAATGAAACCTTATATTTGTGGTCAAGTCAAAATTTCAAATGAGCCTTAAATTTAAAACTAGAGGAAGTAGGTGATATCACATAAAAATTATATTCGAGTATAATCAAATGTCACGTAAGGGGTATAGCTCTATAAATGTCAATTTTCCACGTGAGCCATGCTTGAACTTGAAATTTAACTTATCATAAAAAATAATAATACAGAACGTAGAATATATTACACATACATATTATAAAATATCCTACTGTAGTGTATCATGTCAAATATGTACATCCCATAGAATACATATTATTTTCTTTAGACAACAGTATAACATAATTGAGCAGTAATCAAAAGAAATTAAAAAAAAATAATTGAGTCAGATACTTGAAAGATGCCAGATTAAAGCTCCTCTTGTTTACCTCTTTTAATATTGTTTTGACATTCTTTAACAAAAATGTTGTTCAACCAAGTCATTTGAAATTAAACTTTAATGTTTTGTCACTGTTCGTTGGGAAGAATGAACTCGCATGGCCATTGTATCTACGGAGAATTGAATACGTAATCTCATGCTTAAGCAAAACTTAAGATGTTAAGTGTTAGTTAAGTCAAATCATTCCGATAAATTAAACTTTGTTTAACTTTCTAATTTATTGATCGACGTATTTTAGGAGCACATGAAAAGGTATATATGATATATCTCATGGGGATGCCTGATTGTGTTGGAATGAGGTACTGCTTTCAATCCATAAGACGTCTTTAAAAATCTTTTCATGATCCATAATATGAATATGGTTTGGTTAAAAAGAACGACCTTCTCTTTTTTCGTAAGCCATTTTTAATATTTTTCTCAGAATGAAATAGATAAGTTCAAAATTGAACACTTTTTCTAATAGATGAGCGTGAAACATAAACCAATATTAAACAAGAGTAATGTAAGAGCAATATACCCAAAAAAAATATAAAAACAAGAGTAATATAAAGAAATACCACGATCTCTATTATAATATACTTCCTAGGAAGAATATGTAGTATTATCAGAAGTCACTAAGCAGGATATTAATTACGTTTTTTAGATTGTGTTTATTTAAAGCTTGATGCAATTTTTTTTTCCATTTCTTAAGATGTAATTCATGATAATAAAGATAATTTCTTTAAAAAATTCATTTTCAAACAAATTTAATCACTTAATCATTTTTTCTTAGTTCTAGTAAAGTAGTTGGGATGGCTTAAAATAGAAGTAAGTAGAGAGAATTACGATGAGATTTTAATAAAAAAATAATTATTAAAAAATCCTAATAATAATTTAAACACTCTATAATAAAAATTTCAGAATAAGAAACGACAACTTTTAAGATTTATTTTATAATTATTTTTTCTTTGGAATCCCGTTATCATTCTTTCTAATAAGTGGCACGATAAATAGTTTCATATGGTGCCTTAGTCAAAAACTTTCGTTTGCAAGTGTCTTTAAAAGAAAAGACCACACGTAGTATTTGTCTCTGAAATTAATTACTAGGCATGGCAAATCATCATCATCATCAAGTGGCTTTTGCTGCACAGGTAACAGTTGGTAGATTGCGGTCCACCTCCAACCATAATGGAAGCAACTGTAGACATAAATGCTACGCTCTTCACGCTTCAAGAAAGAAATATATTGATTCATTATTTCGCGTATAAGAAACAATCACTAAACTCACATGTTTTAAAATATTAATTAAATTTAATTAAAAATAATAAATATATAAGATATATGTATTTTAATTATACCATTGTTTATAAAGAGAATATATGAGAAATAATTAGTATTATATATTTAATGAAGATACAAATAAAAATATTAGTTTAAAATTTTAGACAAAGTAAATTTATTTCTTATATTTAGGGACACCACTATAAAAAAAATTATTTTTTATAAAAATGGATGGAGGGAGTATTATTATCATCATTTCACCCCCTTCATGTAAGCCATTCCTGTAAAAATTATTTGGTTCACAATATAAATCATTTGGAGAGTAATAAATACCTATCAATTTCGTACTGCTAATTAATGTTTAAATTTGACTCCTTACATTTTTCTCCTTTAGGCAAATTTAATGAATTAATTACTATTTCTTGATTGACTAAAATAGTTTTTTTTTGCCAATAGTTCTAATTACTCTTTTAGTTCTATTTATAACGTAGAAAAAAAAATTCTATTTCGTTATTCTATTTATAAGTTACTTCATTCAATTTTTAGCATGAATATACTATTTTATCTTTTATTTATTATAGTGTATATAGCTTTTTTAAAGTATATATATTAAGTAGAGGTACAATTGAAAAGTTATTATATGGGGTTAATATAACTTTTGATCCCTAAAATATGAAATATAATAACTTTTGATCCCTAAAATATGAATCTATTTTAGTTTTGGTTCCTCAAATTTTAAATCTGTGGTTTTAGTCCCTAAAATTTTATCTGTCTTAAAATGTTAATCCTTGACAATGCAACAATATTAAAATC